GTTTTATTTTCCTATATTTTAATCATGTAAAGCATTTTACTTTGTCTTTGTACTGAATTGTGCTATACAAATAAATTTGCCTTGCCTTGCCTTCATACCTGACTTTAAAGCAGGGGGAAGTCATAATTTTCCTGTGAATAGAGGTTCCCACCTGAGCTATGGATCTCTGTCGCTCCTCCATAGTTGCCATTGGTCCAATTTATTCTTCTCTGATAAATAATCTCCATGTTTGATCTGTCTCTGCATTGATACCACTGTCTGTCTGCTGCTCCTTAGAGCGTATGCACCTTTTTTGATTCTTTTTAATGCATTCACAGAACAGTAACTGAAATCTGGCTCTGATTACTAATCTGGTGACCTCTGAGGGAGACTGGATTTTTTTTAAAGGGGGCTAAAAATAATTTCTACTTTAAAAAAATGCTGAAAACATATGGGGTTCCAAAAGTGACAAAATGTAGATAGTTAAAGCTGTGGCCTGGTGTAGAGTGTTAATTTCAATAGAGCGCTCCAGGACACGGAAGTGTGAGGACTGACAGAAAACTGCTGGTCATTAAATGACAAAGAAAACAACTAAAAGGAGAAGTAGGCCTACAGTGTTTGCTTCTCTGTGGATAATATCCAGAAGGTTGTGTTCGGATTTTACAATTTAGTCAAATAAAATGTGTATTTTCTTGAAGAGTATTATTTTTTTTTTTAAATGTTATTAAAAATGAAGTTTGATGCAGACTAAACACTAAACATGAACTGTCTGTCTGTTCTACTTAGTTTTCTACATTATCCTTATGTATTGTTTCTCTACTTAAATCAGGAGAGCTGCTCTAATTGAAGGTGACAAATGATAATAAATGACATACCCAGTGCGCCAGCGCGCTCTCCATGAATTCCTCTATTATCTCCTTAATGTCGGACTCCATCGTTCTGGTAATGAGGGCTCAGGACGTTTCTAATTGACAAGTTAAAACAAAATATCAACTCTTCTGTTTGTGGAGCATTAAAGTGCGAGTATCCATGTTGAGTTTAGTAGAGCAGTTTGTCATATCTGCGGCCCTGCCCTCCCTCCACCTCGCTTCTTTCTTCCTCTATGACTGTCAGTTAGTTTCATTGCAAAACCGCACCGGAATTTCTCTCAACGCACATGTTGCGTTTTTTTTCTTTCTTTTTTTTTGTCTGTTTGTTATTTGTTTTTTCCAGCACACCACGCACATCTTATGTCTCCTAACAATGAATGGATATGACCACAGTCTGAGCTGCAACTGCAAAAATGTCAGATAAGACCTGAGACCTAAAATGCATATATGTAAATGTTTATTTATAGAGGTATATGGCTGCTCCGCCTTTAAATGGATGTGTCTTTATTTTCTCTATTTATTATGAGTCTGTCTTAATTAAAACAACGCGACATTGTTTATTAAGCATCTTAAAGTTTAAATATTTTTTTCCAGCTCAATAATACCTGTAAGTATTGATCAAGCCCTGTACAACATTGACCTCTGCTGGTTGAGAAAGGAATTACAGCCTTTTCCGTTTCCGAGAAATCACTTACATCATTATTTCCGTGACAAAACCACTTTATATTCTCCCACCATGGGGGCGTTTTCTCCTCAATTGTCATCAAGACAAGGAGAAAAATGAGATTAACAGCACTGCTTAACTGCAGTGCTGTTAATGTTTGTTGTAGAAAAAGCTCCCATCTCTATGGACACCATTAAAGTTATCTTACAAACCTTCATTTCATTCATGACAATATATACACATATTAGGGTATTTTACCAGTCATTAATGAATTGAAGGTGATAGCCTAAATGTTGCATTTTGTTTCTCTTGAAACCAGTATGTTTTAAAATATTACAGTCCTACCAACTCCTGTCTTAATATTCACAATCTCATGCTTACATCTCAAAGTGTTGTCAAACCTTATCTTGGCTGACCAAGATAAGGTTTACTCCACATAACAAACTACAACAACAGCTCCCGTCACACCATTCAACTTCAACATCATATCATAGGTGAGCCTGCCATTCAGTGCCTGTGTCGATCAGAATACCTCAAACAGGTGAAAAAAAAAAAAAAGCCATTGTGGAAAGGCATCAGCTATCCATATAACACAGATAATAAGTAGGGAGCTTGTAGCACTATGCTTCGCCAAATAATTTAGCATAGAAACCTCCTGACATTTCTACCCATTGCTAGGAGCTATATGGTTTCCCACAATCCTTTGCGTGATAGAACTAAGGCACAGGAGTTTAACAAAAATATATAATTACTCCATATTTACTCTGAGATATATGCAAATATAAACTGTTTCAGATGTTCTGGGTTTTATGAGGGAGAGCTTCAGCCTTTCATGATATTTGTGATGGCTGCTGTCCCCATTTGACCAGTGTCTTTCATGTGTGTGTGTCCCTCATGCATTGGGGGATTTACCATTAGGCAATACTAGTCAGGCTAGGCCCTTGGCTAGTTCCTGGGGGCCCCATAAAACTCTCTTCACATGTATGGTTAATCCAGCTATTGCTTATTTGTGCACAATAATTATGTTAAAAATCCTTTCGCTAAAATGCAGCCAGAACGCTTATAAAATTAAGCTTGTGTTAGGGCTGGGCGATATAGAAAAAAAGCTTATCGATAAAAAAAAATGCATATTGATCGATATCGATAATTATTAAAAAGATTTGAAACCATATTTTATGTGCAGCTCTGCCTGGACTTTTTATGATATTGCTAAATGATTTAATTTTAATAAAGAACACAAACACAGACTTCCAATTAAATATTTATTTAACCAACTTTTTTAACCATAACAGAATTGTTTTAAAGAAAAAAATAACTTAAAAGACCTGGGTTATGTTATTAAATACTGACAAAGAATAAACTAAAGTGACCAGAAAAGTGACCAAAATAAATATAACAAATAAATAAATGGACGCCCCCCGACCCCCCATTCTTCTAAGCTGAAACTGGTTCGGCTTAGTTTCCTGCTTTAACCTGAGTTATTACTTTGAAGTTTCTGGCCCCTCAGCATTTTTCTCTCACTCGTTAGAACTACGTGGGAAACTGCCCAGAACTGAAAATATATATATATATTCCCGAAATTCCCGAAGATTCCTCGGAGGACGACGCAGATGCGCGCCTTGGCCTACACAGCTCGTACTCCTGCGGGTGTGAGCGGCCGAGATGATAAAAAAAAAAAGTTGGTTGTGTTATCAGACTTTGTTTTCACTGGTTCCCTACACATTTTACAGATGACTGTGGTTTGTTTTTTGTCCGACTTGCTATGACCGAAATACTGCCAAACTGGCGAACTACAAAAACCCTTCTTTGGAACAATTTCCTCCGCCTCTCCTTGCTGCGACATCTTCATGTGCTCTGTGTTGTGGTTTGAGAGGGCGGCGCTTTGTGACGGCGTGCCTGGGTCCGCGATTGCGATTGGTTGGGAGGAAGTAGTGACTAGCATAAACCTACATGATAGGCTACAATGGGAATGAAGGAAAACTGCGTTTTTTTATTGAACTTTTATCGCCCTGCTTTTTTTCTATTGCGCCACACGTCTATCGATCGATATATATCGTTATTGAATTATCGCCCAACCCTAGCTTGTGTCAGCCCGCCCCAAAACGAATGAAAAAATCTTTAATTACAAAACATATAGAGGAAAACAACAAGAAAAAGGACAAGAGGAGAGGGACAAAATGTAGAACAAATATGTATATCTATTCTATTAAAATGTATGTGTCTGTATAATGTGTGTGCTTTATGTGCTGTCTTCTCAATTCAGAGGGCCCCCTGCCTGTCTTGGCCCCAAATTTCCTAAATCCACCCCTGCCCTAAGTTAATCACATCTGTAAGGTAAAGGGCTGTCGAGATTCAGCACAGCAGTCTGGAGTTCCTTTCCTACCCTAGATAGTGTTCTTACTGTTGACCCAACCAAAGGTGAAGGGTTAGGAGGTAGGAGCAGAAGGAGCCTCTCTCTGCAGCTGCTGCTGTGAGAATGTAAATAACTCTCAACTGAAGCGCCGGTTTTTGAAAAGACACGGTAAACTTTGAGTTGCTGCACTTTTGTTGATCAAAGACGCATCATTTACCACTTCTTAATAATTTTTTTGGAAGAGGCTTGTTTAAGCTTTGAGTCTGCATGCATTGACAATCTGCAGAGTTCTTGACTGCCTCTCAGACGAAGCTGTTATGGGATGCTGCTGCCTTTATTTTGACCAAATATGGAAACAATTTAAGAAAACAGTTCCTACTTTGCCTTTCTTTTCTTTGCTACTTTTAACCCTGCCTGGGCAGGCCTATAGGAATGGGTTTTAGTGATGATATTTGCTCCAGAAGGACTTTGCTTGACCTTTTTCGGATCTTTCATTATGTGGCCTGAATTGAATCACTAAGCTGACACTGCTTGTATAACATTTGTATGCATTTGTTGAATGAACTGAGACTCTATTCAGTCTGCTGAATCACGAAGATTTTGTTTGTTTTTCCCCTCATTTGTTGTTTTGCTGATCAAAGCTAGCTCCCCATCAGCTTTGTTAGCTTTTATAGATAAAATGTTTTTACATCTACTAATGATAGATTAAAATCCAGATTAATAACAGGTATAAATATCCACATTTACTTGAAAATTGTTGACAGTTGTTAATTGATAAGCTATATTGTTAAATGTAATCACTAAAGGCTGATAGCTGTAATCAGAGTTAGCTAAAGTAGATTTTTGTTTTGGATTAATTTTGATTGAAATTATTGACCACAATTTCCAATTATGATCATTATTAATATTATTAATCAAATAAAAATATTTGCGCAATGCTACAAGCCATTCTGGTTCTGCTGGATGTTTTTTTTCCTTTCAACTGCTGCTACATACTTGTTTGGGAAGAATGTTTGCAGCATAACTTTCTTAGGTATTCCAAAGTTAATTTGACTGCATATAAATATATATATATATATATATGGCAGTTATATTCATCCATTTGAAGGGAATCAAAATAAGACATTCATAGAACTTATTCTGTGATATAAATTTTATTTCAGAAGATTGTGCACACATGGGGTAAACCTGCAGCTATAGGACAAACCACTGCGATACGTTCGGATGAAAAAGCCTTTTAAAGCCCATATCAAGTTTCTGAAATAACATCCCAACACATTTCATTGGTGTGCTCCAGCAGCCTCTGTGTAAAGGTGTGCGTTCCTGCGTGCTGCCAGGGGGATTGTTGGTTACCGCTTGTACAGCACTTCTGAGATTAACAACGCTGGGATTATCAGATTGTTTCAGGGCAGCCAGAATAGATGCGATAACAGCTTCATATAGGCCATCACACTCACACATACAATATAATCACGCACTCACACTTAATCCACCTATGGCTGCTGAACTGATATAACCCATAACACCTCAGTTGTTTTACATGTACAAAAGGAAGCAGACACTACAAAGCAGTTAAAAACTTCTACCTTTAATATAATATTCTTGTGCCAGTTTAACAGGGTCCTAAGCATTTCATTGCAGAGCGGTACAAACTCTACAGCGGAGAGATGAATAATACAATGCACATGGGATAAACCTGAGTTTTAAGAGAGTAACTTTCCCAAATTTTCCTGAAATCATGTCAGATATTTTTTTCCATGCTTATGCTACACCTGAATAAAATTTGAATCTCTTCTAAAAAAAAGAAAAAAGAAAAAGAACTACACAACTTCCTGCACGGATTCTCTGATGGTTCGTGGAGTCCTGCACAGTGTTTTGTTTTGTTTGTTTCTGTTTCTTTGTGCCTATGTGTTCTGGTCATGTTCATGGGAGCTGCAGCTGCTTTAAAGATGGATCACAAATCCAGCCTGTTTTAAAACAGGTGTCCTTCCTGCTTCCACCCAAGTCACACAACCAAAAATGGAAATAAATAGAGAAAACATTGACACACACCCTCCCTCTCTTCCTTCTTATCTCACTTTGATTTCTTTTTTTGCCTGTTCTAGCTGGATGGAGTTGGAGTGGCGGCTTTTTCCGTAGCATCAGCTTCTTTTTCCCCCTCCTCACCCCCTTCACCATCTGAAGCTGGATCAACTTGGGCGAATTTTAGGAGATCGAGAGCCTTTGCTTTGATGTCGGCGTAGGTTTCCTTCACGCCCTTCTCCAGGATGTAGCCCTCACTTTCACCCTCTGGTGACTCTAGAGCCATGGCCCCTTCCACAGCTGTCTGCAGGTAGCGCATGCTCAGGAGCACAGAGATCTGAAAGAGGAAAGTTAAAATGGTCAGATAGCTTTACTGTACATTGCAAATAGAGAATTAGATAAACAAACAAAGACGTGCAAACATTTAAAGAAGAAAATGAATATGTTTTATGTGTAAAATTAATGAAGAGAGATCAATGGACATTTTTAAGGCTTGAGATTTTTTTAAACTTGGACTTTGGCTGCTTTCAACCAAAGTATTTTTGTGTATTTATGTTACCATCTTAGTGAGAGGTGAACCTCCTATACAGGCTTAGGTCTTTAGCATTCTTTAAAATGTTTTATTCTAAAGTTACACATCTTCTCATAACTCATCCCACCCCTGCTGAGGAATAGCAATGCCTTACCATGATTCTGACACTACCATGTTTTCACAATGGGGATTGCGTATTCAGGGTTAAATGCTATGTTGCATACCGGCCAAATTCACATGTTGTCTTATCTCACCAGAGCACATTGTTCTACCTCTCTGCAGAGGTCCCATCCTTGGCTTAGTGTGTAACTGCAAAGACTTCTTTCTTTCAGAAATGCCTTTCTTTTAGTTCCTCTTTCGTAAACACTAGTAGGGTAAAGTGCACGATTACTAATTGTCCTACTGACAGAATCGTTTATCTGAGCTGCAGATCTCTGCAGTAACTTTATAAATAGCAGGAGAGTTTGACTGATCTGAGTTTAAATAGTGTGCTTCCACTTCTCTTCAATCTTATTACAAAGGACTCGTGTTTTGGGTTTTATCTTCATAAAGCTGTTTCTTATATTCTTTAAATTGGTATTACTTTAAAAACAGACTGTCTATATTCACAATATGTAACTACTGTGCTTAATGTAGGAGTATCAGGGTAAAAGGGGATAAACATCTCAACATCTTCAACGTCCTAAAATCAAGTCTCTAGATCTTTGTCTGTAAGAAATTTTTAAAAGACTAAAAAGTAGTAACACTGAAGGGAAATCTAACATACTCTGTTTTTTATGGCTTCAGTTTTGCTAAAACATTTACCCTCAAACACAAATGCTGCTCATCACATTTTATATCATGCTCCCTTTTCCTCTTTTTCAGCCAGCTGTTGGCAATATGGAGCAAGACAATAAACAAAGTGGATGCCTCCATAACTTGACGGCCATCTGTCAATATGAAGGAGACAAAAGACAGCCAATCTTAGCCTGGCATTTATAGGAATGGATTGCGTGATCAGCTGTGGGCAGTGTGTGGCTGTGCATCTGCTTCCTGTTTGAGCGTTTAGAGCTTAAGAATAGAATGTGACATCAACACTGGGGCTTTACAAAACGAAGTGTATTTGGTGGAATGAGAGGAGCTGGTTTGTCTGTGATGTTTTTTTTTTCTTTGTTTCAGTTGTCATGGGAGGCATTGCGTCAGAAGAAGCGAAGGCAAAATAAATTCTGTTTTGTTTTCATGTTTCTGTCACCAAGAACAGTGCGGTTGTTTTTAACTGTATAATAAAACTAGTCACATGATACACGGTTGCCTTCCCCCTGACATGGGTTAAGGTCCACCTGACATTGGCTATTTTCCCTCTGACATTGGTGAGTGTCCAGCTGACATGTATCATTTCCCACCTGACATGTCCTCTTGACCTGATATTGGTCACAGGACAACTGACACCGACATGGGTCACCTGACTTTGGTCACTGTAGACAAACGTTTGGCTAAGATTGACAAATCTAAGCCTAGACTTATCAATATGCTCATTCAAGTAATGATAGGCATATATCTTATATCGTTGGACTGAGTCAGTTTTAAAAATGAGATCTGATGAAAGGCCTTTATCATTTTAATAAATACTGTTATAACTGAGGTTACTCTGTACCTTCTCTTATACAACATTTATTGAACAGGTAGTCGGACCATACCAATTTTGTTGGGTTCTAGACCCCTGTGATCATTTCTTTTGGTCCACTTATCTTACTTGAATTCATCCTCTTGAGCAATTTTAAATATAAATACCCATACTACTAATGTGCTTTGCCCCATCTTACTTATTTACTTTTCTAGAAAACTTTGCAGGCCTATTAAATTGTTCAGTCTTTCCCCACCTGGATTAGGATGACTGACAGAACGCCAGGACCGGTTGAGTTCATCAAACTCATGTAGTAGTCAGTCAAGGCCTGTCTGCAGCCACGGCTGTACAGGTTGAGCTCCTCTGATTGGTATTCGTAGTTGTAGTGGGCCCTGCTATCTGTCAGGTGTCGCTGCAGGCAAGGACGCGGGGAGGCCGGGTTGCAGCAGCTAAAAGGAACGCCATCCAACAGGTAACGACCATCCACATTACTCCGGATACGACTGTAGGCAATGGACGGAAATGGGGAAGAAGCACAAAAGGGTTAAATGTAAGAGGAGATAAGAGTAAAGTTTAGTTCAGGACAGCTAAAAGCCTGAGATTCGGCTCAGTGAGAGGTGAAGAGCACATCAATGAAAGTGTCATAGAGTCATAACCTCTCTATTTACTCATTCCTTTTCACTTATTTAATCTTTGACGAATCAGTCATCTCATGCTTCAACCTCTGTCTCCCTTTTCAAAACCTAAAGGCCAGATCTATTTTTAAATCACCTCCGCATCTTCACTAAACATCACCCCCCTCTCTCTGTAAGATATAGTTTGACCTTTTTGGATTATGAAGTCTGTTCATCTGTCACTAACACAGCTGCCTTCTCTCTCTCACACCCAGCATCGCTTTAGTTTATCTGCTTTTGATCTCATTTCACTTCATCCCGTATCAAGGTTGTGTTCCTGCTGCTGTTTACTCACTCCTTTACTTCCTGGGAAGTGAAATCCAGGTATCGGTTGCTGACCCACTGAACCTCGAACCAGTCCTTGAAGTTGTTGTTTCCGCAGCAGCGAAACTCCATCTGGAGGCGATCAAAAGTCTCCTTTTGAAAGCAGCGGCCAGGGACGTCCGTGTCCTTGTAGAACCGGATGCCATTCCTCAGCCCAACCTGAATAAAAAAAATATTTAGTTTGTGAAAATAGATTTTAGAGTTATATAATACGTTCTGTCAAAATGACTGAAATCTCGCTTAAATGAACAGGTTAGTAACAAGCCCCTAGAGCATTTTATCACATGCTCTTGAGGAGGGAATGTAAGCATTTGAATGAGATGTGTTGAAGCAGAAATACATCTAAAGTATGGAGGCGAGTGGGCCTCAAGGACAAGGTTTGATAAATAATAATATAGCCTGCAATAAAAATAAATCTTACTTCTGTTCCTAGCCTTTAACTGTCAGAATGTTATCTTTCCTTTGCTTGGAGTTAGAAGCAACTTTAAGCTTCTTCCATCTTTCCTACTTTTAAGTTTCTTTTAATTTTCTTTATCCAGAAATATCTCTCTATATAGCTTTAAACTCTACTATCTTCATCTTGTATTCAGACCAGCTAATTCATTAGATCTATTAAGGCCACATTGTTAGCCATTTTACCTTTGACCTGCTGGGATCAATACCCAATTTGCATGACTTTCTTCTCACCTTCAGCGACTCTTCCAGCCGCCCCTGTAGGGCATAACTGAGGATCACCACAGTAAGAAGCAGGCAGCACAGCAGCGCAGCCACGGCAAACCAGAGCAGCAACAGCACCTTCCAGCGCGGGAAGCGGCTGGCATCCAGGGAGTCCTGACACACTCGACTGGCAACCCAGTTGGCGCCGATGGAGGCCAGACCCACCATCATTAGGAGGTTGGGTACACAATGGATCTCTTTGTTCTCCATCACCTCAAAAAGTGGAGAGAAAAGTCAGTTATTGATATCACCTTGTGATTTCCTTCCTTTTTTAATTGTATTGGATAATCTAATTAGTCGTATTTAATGGTTGTGAGGAAGTTTGATAGATGTGCTTTATTAATTATTCAAAGGTCGTTCTATCTGTACATTTAATTAACTTTTAGCTCAACTTTAAACAGACTTGGAATAATGAATGTATCATACTGCTTTTCCCAGATGTCAGCTATTCTGAGCTGAATAATAAAAGGTTGTGTTTAGCCAACTGAGAAAGGTAACGATTCTTTAACATGGCTCAATATCCATTGTAAGGCCAAACTGATTTGGCTTATGTTAACACTTAAAACTAATTATGGTATAAAAGTTTTGGACATTTTTAGAAGATGTCTTGTTGCTGTAATAATAGACCTTTATGTTGTTTGAAAAATAAACTTTACACTTTTTTTTTTTTATTGTGATCTTTGCCATTTTTTTTTACACATTCCTTCATATTTCTTCATATTTCATATTTTTTAATGGTTATATATATAAATAGTCTTTGAATAATTTTAAAATAAATCCAGTACGAATAAAACAAACTGTTATAACTCAACAGCTTAATTCAATGGTCCTCAAAGACTGGCGTCCTGTATGTTTCAGATAATGCTTAATCATTATTGATTAAGTATACCTGAATTAAATAAGTGCCTAATTTGCACACCTCTGCTGATTTACAAAATATTCAGAGCATGAACACATCTTAAACATGCAGCACAACAGGACTGGAGTTGGACAGGCTGAACTTTACCTAAATGACATTTTAAAGTGGCATTAACACTAGGCATAAACACTTCAACAAACTTTTTCATATGTGTCAATCATTACAACAAATTTGTACCTAAATTTATCCATAGCTAAAGGCTATAAAAGTTGGAAATACGTTTAATATGCACCAGTTGGTTTTTACAATGTACTTTTTAGAAACGTATATTCCTTTAACTTGAGTATTTCAACCGTTACATTATTAAGTTGATATTGGTCCATCAGGTCTGTAGTAAAAAAATAAATAAATAATGTAAAAATAATGTCATTGAGGCATAAGTTATAAGAGTAGTAGTAGTTAACAAATTTTAAGGTAGAATGTCAACTTTTTCCTGCTGTCATTCATCCAAAGGGTCTACCTTGGGATCAGTATGAAGGCCAATCTTGCCAGCTAGTTTAACTCTAGCATTAGGCTTTTTGCTAAATCACTTAAAGTTGGAGTTAGCATGTTCTCCCTGTGCATGGATGGGTTCTCTCCAGGTACTCCAGCTTCCTCCCACAGTCCAAAAACATGACAGCTGGGTTCTCTAAATTCTCCTTAAATTTGCTTAAATGGTTGTTTGTCTCTATGTTTCCCTGCAATAGACTGGTGACCTATCCAGGTTTTGCCCCGCCTCTTGCCCGTAGACAGCTGGAGATAGACACCAGCACCCTTCACAACCCCAGCAGGGATAAGCTTGTAACACAAAAAACATTTTTGTAACTCTCTCAATCATTGTTCTTTACAATTGTTAACTTTTACTAAGTTTATAGATGTATTCGTAACAGAAATCCTACAAACATATCAGCCTTACTGTTGAAATTGAACTTTAAACCAAATGCTAAAGTTGAATTTAAAGCGTTTTGGTAGGATTTGTTTCCAAGGTAAAAGACGGCTTTTTACAGACTGACATGCACAAATACAAAATTAAATGATTTTAGTGGATGATATTTATCCCCCTCCATTATAATACCATGCTAGTCATAAAACAGATTTTTTTTAAAAACATTTACAGTAGGTGCTGCTATGCTTTGGGGGTAGAGTGCATGACCCAAATACTGGCTGATGCAGGTTTGAATCCCAGTCCTCTCCTTCCTCTCTTGTAACCCACTTTCCTGTCTACATGGTTTCAAAAATAACAAAATAAAAGCAACTAGAGCCTTACAAAAAATCTTTTAACAAAAATCCCAAACATTTAAATTTATTCTGTAAAAGGCAAGTTTGCATTCTTTTGATTACATCACTCAGCATTTATGCCACCAGGTGTAATGTCTGATTAATAACAGCCGAATGGATTATATAGATTGCCTGAGTCATCATCACTTTAATTAACAATTAAAAGCAGCAAAAAAATAAAGTTTTTTTCCAATTAAAGAGAGTAAATCTTGTAAATCTTCCAGCTTTCTGACACTACTCTTCAAATTCTTCATCCCCTCGGTCACATTGAGGTTAAAATAATTTGATTATTCTCAAGGAGATCAATCAATATCCTGTGCTCATGCGTTTAGCTTTCCTGTGCAGTGGTCTGGATCTTAATGATTCCATCTTTTCCAAAATCCAATATTGGTCAATGACATGCAGTGACTGGCTGGCTTGAACAAATACACAACCCTAGCAGAGGCTGTAACCTCTACCTGCAGGCCACATCGCCAGTCAATACCCTCTGCAAGGTAATGATTATGGAAGAGAATCGCTGAGGTTTAAAAGAAGCTCCTCAGCATGCCACGCACCGTATAACATTATATGCATGACTGCGCGTGTTGACACTTGTATTTTGTCTGCTTTGTTGTTGAAGGATTAAGCAAAGTTTACATTTAGAGGATAGATAAGCGACTACATAACTGCCGGGGTAAATAACAATGCTCCAAGGCATTTGTCTGAGCATACAGTCGCATATATGTCTGACTTTGAATGAACAGATTTGTTATTTTTTAGGTGTCTAGCGCGCGCTTCATCATCCATGTGAGTTTAAAGGTTGCTCTACCTCATCTCTACGAAGCAGCTCTATCTTGATATAAACCCCCAGGGAAAAAATGAAGGCCCCACACGTCACTGCTAGCCAGGAGAGCAGCCAGAGTCCCTGGGCAAGTCGCACCCGCCTCTGCTGGGTGAACTTAATCTTCAGCACTGCCATGGCTCACTACCATGCAACGATCAGTGTAATGAAAGGGAATACAATGAGACAAGTAGTGTATCCAGATGTGATGAAAAGCTGAGTTTAAGAGAGAGAGTTGACAAACTGTGCAGCTGGAATATTCAGTTAATGCTGGAGGCCTTGTTGTTTGGTGAGTTATAAGCAGGTTGAGCTCATCTAAGTTGTTCCAGGTGGAGAGGATAAGCAGGTAGATCCTTGAGATGGTGAAGGATGCAGTTGACCTCAGAGGATAATCCAAATTCTTTCACTTGGTTGGAGAAATCGTGCCGAAAAAACTTCCTTGTAATCCAAATTGGTGCAGAGGCCTCAACAGCAAATTTAAGAGGGGAAAAAAAGGTTTAAAATGAATTATAAATGAAGGAGATAATCTGTTCCAAGAGTCTACTGTTTTTTTTTTAAAGGTCTTTCACAAGGTCGTCTTCACCCCTTCCTTCAAGCTGAAACCACCTTTCTTCCTTGCGATGTGTTGTTGTCTCTTGATGGCGCCCCTCTGGGTCTGTGCAGGTGCGGCGCCCCCCTAAACCGCTGCAGCCATGGTTGGAGGAGAAAGAGACTGGGCAAAGTGGTGAGTTTGGAGCCGTAATCCCACAACAGAGTCCCTGGGATCCTATTATCGCCAAGGGCCAATTGGAAAGCAGGCCAGTGATTGATCAGCAAACTTGCTTTGATGGACACATTAAGATGGGCGGGTCTGTTGGTGTATATTGATGGTTGGTCTTACCTGAAACCTATCAGAACAGGTTCATCAATACAGAGACTGAAGAAACAGGAAATACTATGCCACTGTTTGGAGATTATAGCGGTTTTGTCAGTCAAGGCTTTCATGATTTTTTTTTTTTATTGAACAAAAGGTCAATGTTTTCACTCTGCATCTTTTTATGCAGTAAAAATCTACAGCCTGAGTGAATTATTACCCAATCCCAACTATTGGTTTTATTTGAGCTCTAATCAATTTGATTACTGTATAAGATGTTGTTTTTGGGTGTAAAATTTCCCAATTTTTCAACTTACTGACTCTTGATTCTTAGTTCTACATCTATTAAGATATAATAGTCTTTTATGAGTGGCATTAAGGGAGCATTTCTCCCAATATGATCCCTCGGAGGGCAGTGAAGATGGGGAGAAAGTATGAGAGACGTAATACCTGCAGAGGATTATGTAGGGAGGTTGGTGGGGTTGGATCAATTGGCTTAAACTGTCATTTTAAGTATTTATGACAGCTTGAATCAAAGCTCCAGTTAGGATGAAGTGTGTTTCAGCTCCTACAGTGACTTGCTGAAGTATTCCCACCCCCAGAAAGTTTTCACTTCACACTCCCAAACTTCAATATATTTTCTGAGATTTCAGGCTAGGAAAAACAAAAGACAATTTCTTTTTTTTTTCTTTTTTATAATTTGCCACTGAAATCCATAAAAAAACAAGTGTGACCTGCAAATCAGTTTAGCTCACCTTACTCATACCTCCGCAGTCTTTTGCAGGTAACAAACAGGTTTGGGTTTAATAGGTTTTCCTCCAGGACTGCCTCGTATTAAGCTCCATCCATCATCCCATTAAGTCTGACAAGCTTTCCCATCCCTGCTAAAAAACAACTGCAGAACTGATGCTGGCACCAAACTAAACCATGAGAAAGCTGTTTTTACCATGATTTACATTGTTCTGTAGCTTTCTGCCCCGCAAAGTGTTTTGCATTTTGGCCAAAAAGGCCAATTTGGGTCTCATTTGACTTGAATTTGATTCAGGATTCTGGATCCTAAAGTTCTCTAACAACCTTTGAGTCCTTGACAGAACAGCTGGATCTATACTGAGGACACAGGCGGACTCAGTTCACTAATCAGGGGATTTCTTGAAGGCGGCTGATTGCACTGAATTTCATTTAGAGCTGTTAAAGTAAATGGATTATAAACACATCCTTACGCTACTTATCAGGTTTCCATTTCAAAGGGAAGAAATAAAGCACATGGTTAACACACAAATAAATAAATAGATCAAAAGTCTGTATTTTGAACCTTTCTACAGGAGCAGCTTTATTGGTAACAGTAGGTACAGAAGTTAAACACTGTGCATATTTAATCATACATTTTAGTGAAACTTGGACTCTATAAAGACTAAAGTAACTTTATTTGTTTTATTTATTAAACCTATAGCATGGAAATCCATTCATATTACTGACACTTATATTTTGCTGTACATTATGGTTTCTAAATCAGTGAAGAGCCTCTACCCCAGACATCCAGTAGACTACAGTGTGTATGACACAACCCATGCTCTATTTACACATGTGCAATATTCATCCAAGCGTTTGCAGACGCAGTTAACTCATTTGCTAATAAAGGGAAGTGTTTTAAAAGTCTTACATCTGACTGTATACACCGTGCTGGCAAAAGTAAATGGCCACACATCGGAATTGGGAAAAGTAGTCAAACCTTTTCAAAGCAGACAGCCATGCTCCATCTCCAACTATCCCCTGCCTTTCTGACAAACCCAAAGACTTACAAAGTGGAAAAGTGGTGTAGTTTAAAAAATACATCTCTACTGGATATAATAGTCAAATATAAGACAAGATAGCTACAGGTTAAAGACAAAATACAACCAGAGATCAGGATTATCTACAGCAAAGGAACAAAGTGCTTAAAATGAACTGACTACCTTGCTGTCCTTAGAATAAGTGGTGAAAGGTAAATTGATGCTGAACTGAGTGGTAATGGACACAGATCTGTGGAACAAGCAGAGTGGAGCAACTCATGGTATCATGGCAATTATCAAGCTAGAGGAATGTAAAGGTTTTAGGGCCTTATCTCCAGTATTAGGGAGCTTTTGTGTTTCTGCATGCCGAGACATTTAAGACAATTTACAATGAAACATCTTGAACGGCCGTTTTTATTCTGACATGAGCCTCTCGTAGTGCATAAAGGACTGTAAAGATACCTTTGAATCCTGTGGGGCACATCTAGACTTGCATGCAGACAATGCTGACTTTAATTCCATCAAGCAGATTTGAGGTGATGCAAGACCTTTTTTGTCCAGGATCAGTGTATCACCTTAGAAACCCTACCGAGGATCCACACAGCAATACGGCCAGGAAGAGTGAAGCTCTTACAGATAGACCCATGATGTAATGAAGGGTTTCTATTGGGGGAGACTATGGTTAGGGCATAGAGCTTGGAATCATGAGGTTCTGTGTTCGAGCCCCACTCCCACAGACTGCCACTCTGGGTCTCCGAGCAAGACCCTTCACCCCACACCGCCCAACGATGGCAGCCAACTGCTCCCAAAGGGGATGGATTAAATGCAGAGGTAAATTTCTCCAATGTGAGATCAATAAAGTTCAATAAAGATCAATGATTTGAATACATCATGGCTGGTGTAGCCAAATACCTTAGTTTAGTGTGCATGAGAGGTCTGAATTTACCAACTTATTCTTTGAAAATATGAGTTCATTTTCCCTCAAATGTCAGCGCAAATGATTTAATCTGCTTCTATTAGAAAGAAAAGTGGTACAAACAAATTTAGCCTAAAACTTTCCTGTTAAAATTTTCCTATTTTTATTTTTCATTTTTATTTTTTTGTTACTGTCCTGGCTAGCTCTAACTAAATCATTTCGGCTTCAGGTGTACTTATTTACACTAAGGGTCTAATGTAGCTGCTGAGTAAATTAAACTATTATAAACTGTTTCCATTTAAAATCAGATGACTGCTATTCAAAATCCAAGCTGTTAAGGAAAAATCCTAGTTTTTCACTCAGTGAGAACTTTCTATTCTATGTTACAGAAACATAACAGTAAATTCTGCATAGACTATAACACGGTGTGTTAAAAATAACACATGGTCTAAAGATGAAATCTAAAGATGAAATCTTGTTCCTTCAGAGTTCGCTCTGAACTTCTCACAGCTGCAATTATTAGGTTTTAGTGGTATAAAGACTTTTATTCAGCTCTAGGAAACACTACATTCGTATTAATGAAATAAATCTACAGCAGTGACGCCGCAGCTTAACGAATATTCACCACTGACAGATAATCAGGACACAGATTATTAAATTAGGGTGTCCTCAGATGGCATTCTCAGTCTGCCACTTTCCCTGCCTGCTCCACTCCAGTCATCCACTCCTGCCCGCTCTGCGGCTCCTTCCCTCCCCCAGCCTCCTTGTGTGCCTGCAGATGATGCATGAAATCATCCAGGATCTGCTGGGCCAGCATGGAGTTCACATCCTCTGCATCCTGCTCAAAGAGCAGCAACTTTAACCCTCCTCTTCCTTCCCATCTGTCATCCGCTGGGTGGCTGTGCTGGGGGTCTGGAGTGGTCTCAGTGTGGGATGTGCCCCGTAGTAACTGCTGATGGGTTTGTGGGTAAACAGGCTGCGGTCTAGCAGGGTAACTAGGAGCTGTGGATTTATAGGAAGCAGCTCCAATGTCAGCCGAAGAGAACGATGGGCTGTGAGTGGACTCATGCTGGCCTGAAAGACTGCCCTCATTTTTTGCTGGTGTAAAAGCTTGTTTAATGGGCATGAAGGCCGTGACCCTCTGCGGACCTGCCTCTGACTCGCTCAGCCAGCCCTGGGCTGCTCCCTCCGCTTTAGGACTGCAAGACTGGCCTGCTGTCAGCTGGGATTGGTTGCTTGGGAAAGAGGTTGACAGAAACTTTTGTATGGCTTCAGCAGAACCAAAGTACTTCTCCAAGAGTTCCTTTACCAATAGTGGTACCTGCAAGGCAGAAACCAAACATGGGTTATTTCTCTGGTAAAGGATTTCTTTTTTTATATCTTGTATTTACATTAAAACCCAAATATACTGTGTTTTTCTTTGTGCTCTGTGACATTTACTGAGTAAAACTCTATCCTAATCTATTGAATTTAGCAGATTAGTGAGGATTTGCATCGATAAGTGACATTTGACTTTAACAAAGACAGTCTGTATCCTCAAGCTGTGCTGATGAATAATATATTCAGTTTGAGTATTCCTTTATGTTGAAAATGTGCATTAGAAATCCCTAAACATGAGTTAAAACATGCTGTTAGAGGTCATTACTGGGTAAAATGGCACACGGCCTTGCAAAAGAAACCATTATCCCTTCAAAAATGGCACAAAGTTCAGACATGATTAGTTTTGGCAATCCTTGAACAGTGATGTTCAGAGGTGACCTCTCTAAATGTATAACGTTTCTTATTTGGCAAAGAAGAATAGGCACATTTCCAATTCTATGTGAAGCCGATAGAGTTATCCAAAAGAACAAGCTGTAGATGATTTTATTCACATCAGCAACAGGGGGGATGAGTTGGCATAATCTCCCCGCATCAGAACGCCATCTTCAGGACAGCAGGGGTAAAGCAGACAGGACTGACAAAACAAACTCTTCACTTTCTATAAACCAACCATAAAGGAGAAGCTGATCACTAATATTGATATCAATAAAGCATCTTCATAGTTATAGTGTGTATCTGTTGTATCTGTTATCTAGAAGGAGAGAAATGTTACATCTGTGCTTTAAATATTTGAGAGAGGAACCCTCAAAAATATCAAATATATCCAACATAAATCATTGAATATCTGAGTTATGACTTTTATTCACATGATACACTAAAAATACATCTAGTTTTGAGTTTTAGGCACTTTTATAAACATCTTATTACATAATACTGCAGACAAGTTATGAAAACCATCATTCATTTTAAACAATGTTCTACAAATGGTTTGGTCTTCTTTGTAATCTTTCATACTTTTTCTTTCTTTGTTTACTTTTGCAGGTAGTTTTTTGTTCTTCTCTGTACTTTTATTCCTCTTAAAAGGGTTTTTTTCCTCTTTACTGTCGCTACAAGCATGCTTGGTGTGAGGCATTGCCATCAAGCCAATGTGTCGATGGAATCAACTGGTTTTCCTTAGATAGAACACCTTGAATCAATTTGACTGTATGATCTGTTTGAATAGTAAAATGTAATAATTTTTTTTTACCCCATTTGTGCTTTTCAGAGAGGTTTTTGACTATATTACAGCACTAAGACAGCACAGACAAACAATCTGTCAACAGTGATGTACAAACATCAAGAAATTATCTTTGAGAGTCCGGAAAAGTACTTGGGATTGCCTAATACCTCGCAAAACTATGTCGGATATTTTGTGTGTGTGAATGTGTGTGTTTTTTAAAGGAGTCTAATAGTATTTGTGTTGTTTTGTAATTCTAAATCATTGAAAATAAAGCTCAAATGTGGTGTGCCTCAAGGCTACACTCTCGGGTCACTATTTTTCAACATCTATGATCCCACATGCTCAGAATATACTCCATTAAAAATGTTCTTTCTTTTGAAGCATCAAAACATTTTTTTTTCCAGTTCAAGACAAGAAGTAGAAGACCTTTAATCGTTAAATTGCTATTGCACTCCACAACTTTAAATATAGAAAATAAGATTCCGTTAAGGCTTTACAAAAACTAGCAAAGATTTTGATCACTGGTAATGGTATTAATGTCCATGTTGAGTCAATTTGAGGTATTTTCATGTTATGAAAAGCTCTTTATAGTGGCAGATGTCTCACATTCTTGTAATAATCTTTGATTTTTATAAAATTGCAGCAGAATTTTAATTTCCTATCTAGTTTTTCTACGTTAAAGATATTTCTGGACCCTATTTTCTGGAGAACCTCCAGTTTCAAACCTGCCTTGAGTTGAAGTGTACACATATGTCCACTAGATGGCAGTATGCTCACATTAATGTTCTCCAGAGCAGCGATGGTCCTGTGGGCCTCACTCAGCTCTGAGCCAAGCTGGGAGACTCGATTCTGCAGATATTTTCTTTCACTGCTCAGACTCTCCGACTGCAAACACAAAGAAGGGGGGAGGGGGGATGCAGCCACTTCAACAACTGAGGCAGTACAAGAAGCAAACTGCAAAAAAGATGCATATATATTATTGCATCCAAACTCTCACCGCTTTGTGAAGGTGTTCTCCCAGCAGGTTATTAGTCTGCTTTGCACCAGTTTGAGTATGTAGAAGGCTTTGCAACAAAAGAAAGATACAATAATCTGATTATTATCTAAGCTGGCTTTTAGTGCATTTAACAACAGCTGTCTGAGAGTTGCACACTTACACAAAATAATAATGACTGTGCAGCAAATGACTCCCAACTGGAGCCCAGTGAGAGGCAACCATTCACCCCAGTTGCTGCAGCACAATGAAGAATGGCTGGTATGTGCTTAGTATGCAGCAGCAGTTGTTTGGTCACACAGTCAGGCCTGGCCAGCGAGTCAGGAAGTCAGGCTCTCTGTTTTTTTGCCAAAATCTATGGCTAATGTAACTGATCCAAAATGCTGTATAGATCTGTTAAAGCATTAAGCTCTTATGTAAAGCCATACATCACAGAAATGAAAACAATGATCACTATAAAGCCTGAGAAGACAATAACACATAGCTAAAAAAAAAAGTGAAACAAAATAAGCATTTTAGCACTACTAACCTTTCCATTCCTTACAAATAAAAGATGTGTTTGTAAATGTAAATGCTGCTTATTTTACTGTTATCTTTACTTATTTTAATGTTTATTACATATTTATACTTATCATCTGTGTGTTGCAGCATGTAAAACTGAAGTTAGGCTCCTTGTTTGAGCACACACAGTCTGTGCCAATAAAGCTGATTCTGATTCTAATAATAGTCTCTCATAAATGTTGTTCTTTGTCTTGTCAATGCACATTTAAAGATCTGCCTTTTCTCTGGGTCATTTTTCTTTATATGCACAATTCACCTTTTGTATTTCTCTTTAACATGACTGAGTTCGTCTCTGGTCCTCTGTAGCTCTGCCTCCAGGCTCTCAATGCAAACTACTGTCTGCAGAAGGTTCTGGTGGAGATCTGCATTCTCCTCCTGCAACGCCCTGAGCACAGAGATGGGGGAGGGGAGGACAGAGTCACTCCATGAATGAGCACCAGTGATATCTGGTTTGTTCTGGAAAAAAGAACTAGAGGACATCAGGAAAGCCTGAGTAACTCACAGATATAGTTGAACCTCCTGTTTTGTTTTGTTCTACCTTTCATTATCAGCCTCTGCTGTTGCACCACTAGCAGTTTTGTTTCAAACATGGAGTTAATAATTAATCAAGACTCTTTTCAGAAAAAGAGTCTTGATTAATGATTAAAAAATATCTTTAGTTATCATTTACCCAACACCATAACATGTTAATGCATGTATCAGAGTGAATTAGTGCTGCTTTCAATATGTTTGAGAGGCTTGATCTGAGAAGGATGCTATAGACAAGTCGGACTTAATAGCTGGAAGTGGGATAATCACTTCGATTGTGTTTGCTGTTGATTTGGTGCAAACTACAAACAAATAGCAAAATATTTGTATCAATTCAGCCGGTCTAATCAGTGAAGGAAATCAGACAGAAATGTGATCCTCTGGAGCCATAAAGCTTTATATATGCATCAGTCATGTTGGATATTTAACTCTTGGGACTTTCCTTGTTGGGAATCACCCAGCTTCATTTTTGCCACTTACACATCTGTTGTAGCATGACACCTAAGTTTCTATTAGAACTGAAACTAATCTTAACATTGTTGTGTGTTCATATTGGGCTATGATGTCACTCTATGGATCTGGGACTAATGTAAAAACCAGAGTAAAAGATAAAACCAGTGTTGTATCTGGAAAACCAGTTCAAACGAAAAGTTGTCATTGGAATCTGTCAGAATATCTTACTGTTTCCAGATAAATCTGATGGTAAATAGAGAGATGAGATCAAGTTTGATGAGATACAAGCCATCCAGGGCTGCAGTTTAACCCTGCAACTTTCACTACATTTTATACTCACATCAAGAGCTTAAACATTTAATGAGTTTTTGTTATGAATAAATTTGTACACATAATCTGAAATATTTGACCTTGTGGCGTGTTTGCGTCTTCCAGCTAGCCATTTTACCACCACTATTTACAAGAGTATTTGTATTTATATTTTCTTGCTTGTACAAAGCCAGCCCAAAATTTGTCTAGATTTCCAAATTTAGGGCCAGACAGTTTCAGAGATAAATTCAATTGTCCTCACTGATGCAAGAACAGAAATAAGTCAATTTTGTTGAGTTTTTGCAGACTAGAGTTTTCTTTTTAGTACAGTATCAGAATAACATTAGAAACATACAGTAGAAGAGTAAAATCCTTTGTTCATAGAGACTGATGAGGCCTTCAACTTGCAACCAAGTCTATTCATCATGTCAGTGTCATGGGTTTAAGCCAGAAAGTCACAAGTTTGTTCTTGTTGTGCTGCAAATAGTTTGCATGTATTCATTTCATGCAGCCAAATATTAAAGGAACATGTCTGTGATAATGAGATTTAAAAGTGCCGTTTGTTCCACTGCTTTATTGAGAGGCAGAAACTGTCGGACAGGCTAAAAGTTTGTACTTTCATTTTTTATAGTTTGTTTCTTTTTTAAGACAAAAACTTTTGAAAAACTGCCTGTTCTTCTCTGATTGTTCTTACATCTTTTTTAACAGTGAATTTAAGACATTTAGTTATCTCAGTGCAACAACAGATGCATTATCTTTCTTTCTAAAATCTAAAAATGCCTCCATCTTTCTTTTTAAAGATACAAAAAAACAACAACCAATCTTTCCCATTGGAATTAAGAATTCTAAATAATAAAAAGTTAATTGTTTATATTTTACCCATTGTCCCAGATTTTGCATAGTTCAGTGTTTTTTTTCTTGCAGCACATTGCACCACTTGCAGAGGTCTCACCCTGAGTCCTTTCTGCAGCTGTCCCTGTCTCGACTTTCAACCTGGACTAATTACAGCATGTATTTCCCTGCCCAATGTCTACCCTCTTTTCTGTCTATTAAAGAACATTAAGGAAGTGTTAATTATAGAAACTATACTATGTAAGGCTAAATTCAAGGGCCAGAAGGTACAGAACCCATAATCTGGGTTTAAACAGTCTGTACTATATTTAAATAATGTTCTACAAAGATTAGTTTAGTTAGTTGGTTACTTGGACATTTTAAAACATCATGATTTACTAAAAAAAAACAAAACACATCCTTTCAAGTGCATGCATTATTGATTAGATCGAGTTTGTTACATAAGTACGGTCCATACTCCCCGCCCCCTGTTTTTTAAACAGGACACTCATTAATGTATTAATGTGATCAATGCATCCTCTCACACAAAGTGAATCTGGGAAGAGAAAAAAGACAAACATACAGGATACTTACTGAAGGTGGTCTGGATCACACAGCATGTTCTATAATAAAAGCAAGAAGATGTAGACAGGGTGTAAGAGATGGCATGAAGAATGAGGACATCATATTGTTATTATGATTTTCATGCTAAATTTGCAGATGTTCTGCTTTTATCTGGATCTGAGGAGGATGAGAACATAATTTAGCTTGACATTACAGGGGGTTGTTTTATATTGCAGATGACTGGAGGAGATTTAAGGGAGGACAACAATGACTCTTCAAAATATGGCATCTTTGCAACTGTGCTGTTTAAAGAAAGAAGGTAGGACTAAAGAACTAGCTTCACATGATAGGGTTAAAAACGCAAACAGAGATAAAGAAAAAAGGCTGTGTTATGACGAGGGAACCGGAGATTGTATAACTGGGACACGCCTCGGCCAAATTACTGAGAACATGAGCAATTCAATACATCATTGAGTAGCGCCTGGGGTTCTGCATGTATTGATATATTCTGTCAGACTAAAATGTTCCCGGTGTGTTTTTGTCTTTCAGTGGAATCATGAATGAGCAGATCCAACATATGTGGAAAGAAAGGCTAATCTCATATAATGTGTAGTAAAACCATCCCCATACCATCTTAACATTTCTCTGATCTCCTGATCCTGACCTACAGATGGTTAGAGAGGTTTTATTTCGTTCTCCAAATGAGCAGCCATTCCAGAGAACAAAGGGGACATCACCATGGGAACAACCAAAATCGTATCTAACAGAGATAAATCAGGGAGTTTCACATAAGAATTTCCCTTGAAGCACAGGAGCTTCATCTGCTGCATCGCTGGAGGATGAGTCAGCTCACAATGCGGAGTATTTGACACATCCTACGTACCCTGTGACTCAGCTCCACTGAATCTGCAAGAGAGATGCAACACTGCTGTTACTTCAACCCTAAATATCCTGAATTCCATTTTACACCCATTTACACTCTAAATAAATATCTACCTTTTTTATTATTATTTTATATTCATACATAGAATAGAATGTTTAGGATCCCCTGGTTTAGATAAATACACCCTCCAATTGTACTTAATTTTATAAAGCTTGCCCAAGAGACCCACTTCCCTAAAGAATGGGAAAGAGAACATTCAATTAATTTTATTTACTAATCTGTGTCATCTTCACATATTATGATCTACTGTATTTGTATTCCCAAATGGGAAACGTTAGAGAAAAGGCAAGTTAGGTATATATTTGGTATTCCTCACAGTCTATTTTCATCAAAGTGAACTTTAACTTTCAGTGCTTCATTACCTTCATGATTAACTGTGAAGGGACGTCAATGAAGGTTTATTTTTATAATGCGTGCCTATTTTAAACAGGTTAGTGTATCAAGAAAATTAAGATATTAATCAATAAAATTTATGACACAAAGACTAATTCTAAATTGAAAGAAAGGAAAAAATGCCCCAATTAATATGTATTTTTATTATTTAAATGTACATATATCAATTAGATTGATGAGGGTGTAAAAAAATAAATTGTATTTAGTAACCAAAATGTGTTTCCTGGAGGAGGCCCAGATCTTTTTTTAAATGGGAAACAACAGAACACGACATTCAAGTTAGTTTGTTCATCTTGCCCCTCTTGCTCTGGTAGGTAGTTAAAGTTAAAAGAAACTGAAACTGTGACATGCAAGGAAGGATGTAAAAAAAAGGGAAGTGCTTCAAACTTTCCTGTTATTTTGCTACGTCAGTAAAAAAAAAAAAAAAACTGTTTTTATTTAGGCTACTACGTATTTCACCTGGAACCAGTGGGAAAGCACCTTTTTTTTTAAACAGACCTTAAGTCAATGTGACTCATTGTATGTTGGGATTGAATGTCTTTCGTTGAGAAAGGTGACCTGAGCTGACATTAATGTGTGTTGTACATTGAAACAGCTTGACTGTTGCAGTTTTTGTTTCTTACTGATTGCACAACTGGAACCACAAACTCTACGCTTATAGACCTTTTTTAAAGAATGTTCTTTGTCTATAATTCTATGTATAGGGAAAAATATGGAAACTATTGGGAGCATTTAAAATAAACCCACACTTAGAGGCCTGAAGGGGGATAAAAATGTGAGGAATGTCTCTGATAAAGAAGCTTAGGTTGGATTTTAGTCGTTTAAAGCCTAAAATATTTGTGTTATTAGAGGTTTTATTGGTGTGAGTACTCACCCGGTGCTCTTTAGATGTTCCCATGTGCTGTGACTGGTGTTTGCCGCTCTGCTCTGAGCTGTGACTCGTAACTGTCGAGGCTGTTTCTCGACTCCTGGATGAGTCGGACTTTGTGGATGACGACTCTGAGCCAAACCTTTGTCCGGACGCCTGTGGTGAAGCTGGCGGGGAGTTGCTCAGATCTCTGTTCTCCGCCGCATGGTGCATCTGCATAGGAAAGTGTTGGATATGTGGGTTCTGGTTCTGGAAGGTGCTAGGATGGTGTTTACGGTGATGGCGCTGCTTGGGTTGGGTCGGCTCAGGACTAGTACTGGTTCCATCTGTGTGATGAGGACCATATCGGCCGTATCTGTCCTCTGACATGGAGTCTCCAGATGGAGAGGGCCTCCTTTCTTTACGTCCGTGGATAGTAGATGGCGTGTGGTGACGAGGCGGCGGGCTGCCATGGTGCTTCCTTCCTGCATATGTTGCCAGGTTGTCTGAATCCGAACAGTCTGTATGTTTTCGTGAGCTGATGGTCGCTTTCACCTGCTTGCTGGGTTGCTTTGATGGCAGCTTAGGGTCACTCCTTTTAGCAGCTCTGTGCTTCTTGGGCGGAAGCTCCGGCTTGACTAGCTCAGGTTTTGGGACTGGGGCAGGCATCTTCTCTGAACTTTTATTGGAGTTCACACCAAAAATGGACAGCTGGGATGGACTCATGACCTGTTTTGTTATCTCATCTAGAAAAGCTGAAAACTGCAACTTTCCCTCCACAAAGTTAGCCCGGGCTCGCTCTATCTCAGCTTCAGTGGTCCCTTTCCCCTTCTGCCCACTCTGACCTCCTCTGGTTGCGACTCTTGGAGAAAGCACCTCCATTGATTTTGCCTTGCGGATGTCATTGTTATTCTCCTTGTTTTTCAGTATCCCTTTGCTTGGTAACTGACTCGAAGACACTGCCCTCTTGGGACCTCGAGGGACCCCTAAAACAATGTTTTCCTCACTAAAAGCCAAGCTTCTGTTTAGACTAGTTGTCTTGTACAAGGGTCCATGATCGATTTTTGATACTTTGGACCGCCCTCTACCCCCGTCACTTTCATTGCACTGTAGCAAACCTTGCTCACTCCGACTGTGACCTTTGTTAAGGTCGTACAAATCATTCCTCCTGCTTTGGTGCGAGCTGTTGTGCAACCTACCAGCAACATTGCCCTTTTTGCTGTGCTTGACTGTGGCAAAAACCATTGGCTCGCTGCTGTCGTCATCCCTAAAAGCTCTGCGCATCTCAGCGATATTGGAGCAAGACAGGGAATGCTGTGGCCGCTCAGCCTGCTGAAGGTAGTAGGGATCATTGGCACTTGTCTCTGTGAGCCAAGAAGTGGAAGAAGAGGATGAGCTGGAGGAGAGGGAGGAAGAAGAGGCCCTGGAAAGAGTTACTGAAGTGTTGTGGTTGTAAAGCTTCTCAGTGTCTTGTTGATACAGATAGTGGGTATCATGGTGAGGCCTGTCATAGAGATATGACCGAGGCTGGTGGCAGCGAGGGTGCCCTTGGCTGTCATCTGTATTTATATCATTGTCATCAAGCGTTGTATACCTACACAAAAGAGTTAAAATAATAATAATTTAATATAGGTTGTAAACACATTTGAAACTAAATATTTACATACGTCATTCTCACAGTCTGACTATAACCTATGGTTTTAAGCACTTAATTCAAAATGTGCTTAAATATGAAATAATTAGAGTTTTCTAACCTAAAATTTGAAATACACTGGGTCTTTGTGTGATTCCATGAACAAGGCCTGTAGAATTCACACCAGAAGATTATAGTGTTCTGGAAGAAGATTGGCCACTGTGTCCGACAGATTAACCTGTTTGGTAGAGCAGTTCACTGAAACTGCTAAGAGGCTGAAATGATCTACAGTGTAATGAGTTGTCATGCTCTAAACAGCCGCTCTGAGAGAAAAAAGCAATACTTCAAACTCAACACTTAAAGGCAAGACCAAAGTTTAGAGTTTCCCCAATCCAGTTTAGTTTCATCCACCAATCCATCCAGCCATCCATCTATCCATCCTAAAATCCATCCATCCATCCTTCCATCCATCCATCTATCCACCCACCCATCCTTCAATCCATCCTTAAATCCATCCATCCACCCATCCATCCATCCTTCAATCCATCCATCCATCCTTCCATCCATCCTTCCATCCATCCATCTATCCACCCACCCATCCTTCAATCCATCCTTCAATCCATCCATCCACCCATCCATCCATCCTTCAATCAATCCATCCTTCCATCCATCCATCCATCTATCCACCCACCCATCCTTCAATCCATCCATCCACCCATCCATCCATCCTTCAATCCATCCATCCATCCTTCCATCCATCCATCTATCCACCCACCCATCCTTCGATCCATCCTTAAATCCATCCATCCACCCATCCATCCATCCTTCAATCCATCCATCCATCCTTCCATCCATCCATCTATCCACCCACCCATCCTTCAATCCATCCTTAAATCCATCCATCCACCCATCCATCCATCCTTCAATCCATCCACCCATCCATCCATCCTTCAATCAATCCATCCTTCCATCCATCCATCCATCCATCCATCCAGCCATCCAGCCATCAATCCATGTGAGTGTTAAGTTTCAGCAGTGACCAACGCATCTTTACTAAATGGTTCCCACAATGGGGACAGCATGTGTAAATGCTGAAGCAGTAGTTGAATAAATATGACAGAATGTTAAAGCTTGGGCACTAAACCAGTCTTTAAAAATAAACAAATATCCGAAGCATACTTCCAAGTTAGTTATGAAAATGTGTATGGGTAGTAATTTATGTAGTCATCGCAAAGCCCTGGATCTCGTTCTTTAGAAAATGCATCTGCGGTGTTGAAAAGTTATGTAAGCAAGACAACCTTTAAACCTGACTCAAATAGACCAGTTCTGTCAGAAGGACCAACATACAGTAAGAAGCATGTGCAAGGACACTCAAAATGTTTCCTATAACTCATACAGTTTAAAGATTATTTTAGGAGTAGGTGAATCTTAGGGTTGGACAAAAGGTCATACGAAAAAAAATGTTTCTTATTGTTCAGGAATTCAGTAAAAAGAATTTTGGTAATTAAACACTAATAGGAAAGGTTGTCTAATTTAGTAGAACACTGTCACATGCAGTGTAGGTAAACAACTGGTTTCAGTTGCGTTTTACTATGAAGCTCGATAATGCATGGTTTTCATTCTCCTTTGGTGGAACTAGTCCTACCTCTGTGAATGAGGGTCTTGGTGGTGGTGATGATGATTGTGGTGGTGGTGGTTCCTTTGTTGCTTAGCTTGATCAGTAGAAGGACTGTGAACAGGTTTGAAGAAATTATCCATTATTTTTCTCTTCGCTGTTCCAAGGCTGTCGATGCCGTTATGCAACCGGATAATGTTATTGTTTTGATGGCTAGATTTTGGCTTTTATTTCTCTAAAAGACTAGCCTTTTTGTAGATAACAACAAAGTCTATAACCCCCATGTTTAATGCAACTTGAAAAATATTACTCCGCAAGTTTTTAGATGTTGCAAAAAAAAATAATAATTCTAAAGTCTAGTTAATAAGGTGCAAAGTTCTTAAAATACTTAAGTAAAATGTAAAAAAATTTCAGTCCCAGTAATTTCCAATGTATGCGGCTGTTCTGAATCTCCTTTGTACGTTTGTCCCCTTCAGCTTCTTACTGCAGAATAATGGAATGGATGAAGTCCGTGATGGTGGCTTGATTTTCCATCACGCCTGAGCAGCTGGATGTTCATCGAACCAACACAATGAGTGGAACCTTTGTCCTTACAGAGGCGATGACAAAAAAGAAAATCTATACCAAACTCTGTTTAAGGGCACTAATTAACTTTTCTTGAAATGTTCGTGTTTATATTTAAATCTGTGCCATATTGTTCTTTTTTAATGTAACAATTATTGTTAAATTCCTACTGCCATTTCCATAAATATATGGAAAATGTATTAAAAAAATAACATCAAAACTATTGAGTTGTCCTTTCTATCCCCATTGATTTTACGAGGTTTCCTGCAACCATGTAGCTGAGGCATGTATAAATATACTCAAAGGCTTTGAATGCCATCTGATTACGCAAAATTTTGGCATGCAACCCAAACATTTCAAACCTTTTATATTCATTATGGACACTATTCAGTTTTAGCACAATTTGAAAACATTTGAACCTTGTGTAAATGGTATGTCTTTCGAGTTTTAACATGATGATTGTTTTTGAAAAATATGATTCTAGGTCAGTATCCTACCCGTGTGGGCAACAGAAAACAATACAACTTCCCTACAGTGAAACAGGGTGGTGACAGTATCATGCCTGAGGGATTTAATACGGGAAATGATAGGCACAGTCAATGGGAATGCGAGAGTAGAAAAGGTTGTAAAATGCTTGAGATTTTTTCCCTCTAGCAGCGCAGTGACCCTAAGCATACAGCCAGAGGTAAAATCAAAGGGTTAGATAAAAGTACAATCATGTTCAGTTTTTTTTTTTTTTTTTTAAAGAAGAATGGGCACATATTAGAATATGCTTATCTGCAAAGTTGGTGGAAACATGCTCCAAAAGACTCTGAGGCAATAGCAGTTCTAAAAAAGTATGAACTCAAATGGCTGAATTCATGTAAATTCATATAAAGGTTCCAGATTTTAATTTCTAAAACATATGGATGTTGTATTTTGTTGGTTATTCTACTCTACATGACTACTATGTTGTGATTTTTACAAAATACAAATACACAAAAAGGTTTATGGTTTTTGTGTGACACAATCTAACAAGTGATGGGTATGAATACTGCTGCAGTTTACTGTACAAACTAAGACAGTTATCATTCAGACCTATTTAAATTTTCACTGAAAAATCTTAATAGAAAACCCTTTTAACATAATGATGTTCATTTGTAATGTTGGGAAAATGTGGATTAACAATTCTTCCTTTGGCTTTTTCATCATTTTAACAAAGGAGTCTGCTTAACCAAGGTCTGCACTGCTTTGACTATCTATCCAGCTTAGGAGAAGAAGGATCTATTTATTGGCTTTGTGATGGGGCTGAAACTAGGCCTCAGGATGCCTCCCAACCTACCAGCTGCTAATCGATTGGGAAATGCAGTAATACACATGAGGGAGTGATGCCCAGACTTGTTTCTCATAATGTAATCAACACTAAAGAAACTTTTGCATTAGAAAAGAGGGGGGAAGGGAGAAATGGGATTTGTATCAGTGGGCTGGGGAAAAACGTGACCAGTAGTACGTATCGTCACGACACCCCCTGCTGGCAGACATGATAATTACACATTTTGTCCTGGTAGTTTTCCAGTTTCCAAACTTAAAAAAAAGAAACAGGCATGTTTCTAGATTGTTCTAGTTTTCAAACCTACATTTTTTGTACAAACAAAATCTGTATATTTAAAAGGGACATAATTTCAACATTAACGTTAGAGTGGTTTGGATAGAGGTTTATAGTAAGTTACAAATGACAAAATACAGCAAATATTAAATAAAACTAACAGACAATACAGCACATTTCAGTCCGGAATAGGAAACACTGTTTCTCGTCAACTCTCTGTTTGCAGGAGATTACGAGTTTGCTGATTCCCTTTGTTTTTTAATCAAAACAAATTGCTTATCAATGCAGTGAAAAGGAAAGTAGATCCAACAACACTCAGCCACATTCCGGTTTAGTCCGGTTCTGCAGCACCCTGCTATCCGCTTTTAAGATTAATCCGCCTCATCCGTTGCTGTGACGTCAGCTGTTTTCTGTTTGTTTTCTTTTAAAAATATCGGTTCGAAAAACAGATTATACATAATAGTTCTGATTTTGAAATATTCTGACAATCATTAAAATAAACAGCATTGATACATCGGGTTCCGGTTTCCTTAGGCCTTAACCAGATGAAAATTACCTTACATGTTCATACGGTTTACTCGATGGGTTACAATCGTACAATCATAGTGTGTGGACAGCTTTTATTTAGATTACAAGTAGGTTTGTGTCGTCTTAGTTATCACAGGTGTGCTTTTTTATTTAACATATGTTTCTATAAGCACATGTATAGAAACGAAGACGAACTATCTTCTTCCTCGGATGAACAAAGGGTCGGTACTTTGGCCGAATCGCAAGCAGAGCGCATGAATATAAATAGGAGGTGCGCCATTTCGTTTCACAAAAGATCGTCGCACCGAGAAGATACGCGTAGGGAATCAGGCGAACATTAAAGGTCGGCGCGCTATTTTTTTTTTCCTCGTTATTTTTTCATTTTTATAGGCGACTCAATTATTATACAACAGAAAACGTATATATTTTTTTCAAGTTGCCTCGCAAATTCAAGTTGCCTCGCAAACTATGATAACTTTTATCCTGTCGTTTTCCAGTCTTTAACCGTTTTAACGTTTGACATATGAAGTTTACTTTTTTCCCTTTTCGAACTCTTGTGTAATTACAGTTTTTCGGGGTTATTTCCTAAGTGGTTGCCAAGCGCATTTCTAGCTTTTGTATAAGAAGTCTAGTTTATTTAAATGATGATGTAATTATCTTCAACGTGTTAAAGCATTAAGTTCTCGTAGACTTATCAGGGAGTTATTGTCCCTATGTATATTTTTCGAGAAGCTCTCTTTATTTTTCCTCCCTCGTTTTTAATAGTTAAGGGCAGTTGTCTTAATATGGGCGCCGTGACGTAGAAGCTGGCAAATGTCGGTTGCGTTATTACAACGTCTTGACGTAGTGAGCGGAAGTCAATGGGAGTGGTCAGGATCCTTCTAGAAGTAAGGTACCCGATACACAGAAACGGTAAAAGTAAGCTTCTTTTTTTTTATTATATATGTAAATTAAGAAAGAAGGTAGTCATGATCCGACCCTTCAGATTTTGACTAGAACTAACTGCTTAAAGAAAGCTCACTAATTTTAACTTGATATGATGCATATCAGTTTTGTTATTGTATATGAGCAATGTCGGGTTAACTTTATAGCTATTGCTCTTAAAAATGCTGACAAAAAGACAATGTATGGTTCAGTTACAAAGTTTTCAATTCTTATCCTATCCTAATGAATATGGATAATTAATCAAATGAATTACTTTCGTGTTTTTGTTATAGTACTCAAATACTGGTCTGAATAATTCCGAATTTTTATGCAACTTAGCCATTATAAAACTAGCTTTGTATCGTTTTAAATCGGCAGTGGGGTGCTATACATATATACTTATGTCAAAAGCAAACCTTTGAGGGAGGGGTGTCTTAAAAATCTAAATGGCATATTTTTAAGTTCTAAAGTCTAAATTTTAGTTTTATACTTGTTTTTTTTATACGGTTATACACTTCTGTTAAACATAAAAGCTGAAACTCAAAGCATTGTTTCAAAAGAAAGATGAAGCTCTAAAGAAGGAGAAATGTTAATCTTACAGAAGAAAAAAATAATGAAGCGTTCAAGAAGAGAAAATTATTCAGCATTCAGAAGAAAAAAAGTATGAAGCTTACAGAAGAAAAAAAAATTTTGAAGCGTACATGAAGAGAAAATTTTTAAGCTTACAGAAGAAAAAAATATGAAGCTTAAAGAAAAAAAAATATGAAGCTTACAGAAGAAAAAAGTTATGAAGTGTACATGAAGAGAAAATTATGAAGCTTACAGAAGAAAAAAAAATTATGAAGCTTACAAGAAGAGAAAATTATGAAGCTTACAAGAAGAAAAAATTATGAAGCTTACAGGAAGAGAAAATTATGAAGCTTACAAGAAGAGAAAATTATGAAGCTTGCCAGAAAAAAAAGAAGCTTACAAGAAAAAAAAAGAATCATGCTTAAAAGAAAAAAAAGAACAAAGCTTAAAAGAAAAAAAAAGAACAAAGCTTAAAAAAAAAAGAACGAAGCTTAAAAGAAAAAAAAAAAGAACGAAGCTCACAAGAAAAAAAAAAAGAATGAAGCTTAAAAAAAATAAACAAATGAAGCTCAAAAGTAAAAAAAAAAAAATAAAATTATTGAGCTTTATAAAAAAAAAAAAAAAGAAAAAAAAAATGCAAAGCTCTCAAAATGCTCAAAACCCTGTTTGGATGAAAAAATGTCTGAGCCTAATGTATCAAGTGGATCACAAGTTTTTTAGTTTTTCTCTTGCCTTTTTTTATTTATTTATTTTTTTATGGAAGACAGAAGACTTTTTTTTTTTTTTTTTTTTGGGAAAATGGACTCAGTTATTTGGGGAGGAATGGACTTAGTTAAGCTTTCAAGCTGAAGATTCAGGACCGGCGTGGCAACAGAATCGTAAGAGTGGAACCAGGCAGAGGGCGTGGGAGGACCAGTGGCGAGCCAGGCAGGAGGAGGCCAGAGGGCGTTCGAGTTGGACCGGTGGCGAGCCAGGCAGCAGGAGGCCAGAGGGCGTTCGAGTTGGAGGACCAGTGGCGAGCCAGGCAGGAGGAGGCCAGAGGGCGTTCGAGTTGGAGGACCAGTGGCGAGCCAGGCA